AAAATATATTGTATATGTTTAATATAAGAATGTTTTTATACAAATATATGTAATATATAAAATATATATTTTAATAATAATACATTTTTATAATTGTATATTAAAAATACTCTTCTGCTGGTTTTGTTGGCCAGATTGGTTCCACTCCCTCTTGAGAGGAACAAAGAAACAACAGATAAATAGTCAGCAAAAAAAGTCCAACCAAAACCAGCATGATTGCCCTTTATAAACATCACCTACTCACTCAATTGGCTTAGCCATGCTGTGAAACCTCACTTCGAAAAAATACTCCAAACATTTTAAGTAAAAATTTAAGAAAAAATAAATAAATTTTAACGTTGTTTACATTTGATTGAATTACAAGACTTGAAATTATATGCAGTAGACCTCACTTAGATTCGTGCGTGGTATGTCCCACTCCACAGAAGATTAGAAGGGAAAAGGAAAAAAAAACATTTTTGCAAGGAATCGATAAAGATTTCTGAAGTCTGCAAAAAAAAGTCTAAAGCAAGTAATGTTTCTGGAAAGAGAAACTGGGAAATCTTTACAGTAACAAAAGGCTGGAAGGTGAGAGCTGATGTGACAAATCAGATTAGAAGTTTGATTTGGTTAACATAAATCTACCAATCCCTCCCCTTCAGACGTTTTCAAGATCATTTACCTTCTCGCTCCCTATCTCTCACATGAGTAACTCCATCCAAGCTGCTCTTGACTCCTTGGGGATGTAATGGGACGCTTTTGGGCTTAACTACCATTATGCAAGTGACAAATCTTCGTCTCTCTCTTTCGCAGCTGAGATTGTACATATTTTTTCGTTTTTGAAGGGGAAAGCCAAGTATGAATGTGAACTAAGAGTAGTCTGCAGTTCTCTAAAGAGACACAGTAGAGATCCTGCTGGTGGGTAACAGATTTTTTTTTTGGCAGGAGTAGGATTTTTTCCTTACCACTGAAAGCTTCTACCAGTATTGTGAAGATCATACTCTAGTATGAGCCTTGCCAGAATTATCCCTTGTTATCTTCACACTCATTGACTTTAACACTCACTGTCATTAAGACTATATAAATCGTGTCAACAAATACTTTAAAAATACACCGATTACCATTTTTCTTGAGTTTTAACTCAAGGTGTCAAGTCCATGTACAGTACTGAACAATTACATTTTCAGTAAAGAGATCAGTTCCCCTACAACTTTCTTTTAAGCTAGCAGGTATTCTGTGGATAGAGGAAAGGAGGGGTGGAAATGATAGTTTACTCAGGCCTTGCCAACATGTCTAGAGTTGCCAGCAGTCACAGAAATTGAGACACAGTCCAGGAAGTGAAGCCAATTCAGCTTGAAACTCCTTCAGAATTTTCTCGTTAGCCACTCAGCAGACCGATCAATATTGCAAGGTTGATTTCTAAGTTCCAGAAACACGTCATTAGCTGAAACTATGAAGACTGGTAAGGTCAGCCTGAGGAAAATCTAAAGTATGGAATAATCAGATCACAATGGCATTCAGAATGGAAGAGGAAAGTCTGAGCTAGTAACAGAAAAATACCCCTATAGAAAGGATCTGATTGGGGGAGAGGGGGAGCTGCAATATGAGTTGCAAAATGCAAAATTTCTGACAGGAGGTTATGGTCAATACTGTCAAAGAAAACAGACCACCAGTGACAAACCTGGGATGAGAACTCCTGTGTTGTAACTGTTTTATTAAAGCAAATACGGAGCTTTTCTTGAACACAAAATAACTCATTAGTTACGCTCTGTGCACTCAGGTCTTTCTCACATTTCAATTTTGCAAGCAATTCATCACCTTGTTTAATCCCCAACCCACAGACATGAAGCATATTAAATTTTAGGCAGATACTATATTTGCCTTTTCATTACAGCAAAAACCAGTTCTCTTGAACTCTCCTGCATTGGGAAACCACCTACCAGGTTGAGAGTATTCCAAGATAGATGCCAGAGTGCTGCGGATCAGACCTGTCCATTGTTTCTGAGTTTCATCAGTCTTGACTGTTGGAAGAGTAACAATAGTTTTTATCCCTTGAAGGGCTGCACTGACTGGAGGTGGGACCTGATTATCAGCTGATTTTACTGCTGTTTCTTTCAGTACTCTTGTAATCAGAAACAGGATAGTGGGCAAGACTGTCATACATCCTAGAAAGAAAAAAGAAATCAAACAAACAAAAAAAAAGAATTTCTGAAGGTAATTCCAACAAGCAGGATAAATAACCTCTTTAGCTTTCCCAATGAATATATATGGCTAGGAGACAAAGAAGGCACCAAGAAAAACTGTAATTCAGATAATAAATTATATGTGCTCTTCAACATTTTATCACCAAATTAATTCATCAGCACTACTGAAGTGTATCCTCATGTGACACAAGTCACATAAGCCAACACTTAAAATGTTGCTGTCAGTTCAGGAATTATGAGTAAGCTTTTAAAGTTTTGCCCTACATACCATGTATTGCATGCCTTGTATCATATTGAACATGTCCAGATTGTTAAACATCTTAAAACAGGATCTGCATATTGCTAAGGTCCTATGAAGTAAACAACAAGAGGTCTGGAAACAGGTAGCCAAACCAAGTTAAGGCACTTTCCAAGGAAGCTGGTGTGATGTACAAGTCCCAGAAGCAAAGTAAGGAAGTTATCTGTCTGCCTCACATGCTGGGTAGAAGCTGCAGCCATCGGGAGACAAAATGGTCCTCCTACTGCATTGCTTTTCTGAAGAAATCAGTACGCATCTAGATATTTTGTGTAGCCAGTCCTGCAGAGGCAAGTTAGGCATACTCAAGAAATATTGGTCAGGTAACATGTAACCTGACTTTAGACACCTTGGAACTTTATTAAAAATTTCAATAACACATGCAGACTTAAAAGTCCCTGTAGGACTGAAATAAGGGTGCTATTGGGTTTACGCAGGCAATACCAATTACAGCTCACTTAAGACTGTCAAGTCTCTTTCCACACCTTTTCTATGCCTCAAGTTCCCACATCTGTGGAAGCATATATCCAAACATTTTCCTACTTCTGGGAATGCTGTGAGGGTAAATATACTAAGTAGAATTAATTACAACTAGAAGGGACCTCTAGAGGTCATCTAATCCAACCCCTTTTTTCAAAGCAGCAGCTCCTGTAGATCAGATTGCCCAGAATCTTCTACAGTGGAAACTGCAGGATGCTCATGTTTTAAAGAAAGAGGAAGAAATACAAAAACCCACTCAGTCACAGAAAGTGATGAGTTCTTTTAGTTTACAGCTTCCATTACCTTCAAAAGCTCAATTAACACAAATGTTTGTGCATGTACTATGCCCCCATCTCCTACTGTTATCAGCTGGTTACATCTTCTTGAAAAGAAAAAAGCCCAACTCTAACAGTCTCTGCAGACTAACAATAGTTTCTGAGCTACTTTCACTGGCCACATGCCAAACACTGGGAGTTACGCCTTCACTCCAGTCAACACAGAAGTAGTACCATTACTCTCTTTGCCTCAGCTCCCCACACACAAAAGAAAACCACACCAAAAAAACTCCACAAAAAAATCTCCAAAAAACCCCAACCTCAAAACGGATAAAGGAAAAACCACCAGGAATCAAATAAAAAGCAGTGCAGGACTTCAGATCAGCTCAAAATCTACTGTTTTTTAAAGAACTGTAGAACAAATTGTCTGTTTGAAGACAGCCCTTGTTGTGTTCTGAGCATGACTCTATCCAAATATGCTATTCACCACGTGGCTCATTAAGGGACCAACCTCTAAAACATCTTATCTATATCAGTGTGTAAAACTTCCCAGAGACCCACGAGACAACTCTGAAGCAATTTGCTCTCTGAAAAGCAAAACTCAAAGAGCACAGCTTCCCATGCAATTGTGTCCTTTACCCCTGAACTCCACTCAGTGCAATTATCCTAGTTTACACATATCCTTTGTGACAGTCTCCCTGGGCAGAAGAAAGCTCCATTTAGTCTGGAGTCACATTTGGGATGACTGACAGCCAGCGGCTGCAAAACCAAGTGCACCACAGCTGAATTGAGCTGTTTTTTCCTCAGTTTGATTCTCTTTTCACCCAGCTGCTGCTTTTCATGAACTTCTCAGAAATTTAATTATCCACAAGATGTACATGTTTCTTTTACAGCATGATAAAAATTGGCCAAAAGGTTCCAAAATCAGGAAAAAAGGAAAAAAATCAACAATAAAATCATAGTGATATAGAGCTCATTTCTTCAGAAAACTTGCAGCACAGATACATTCCTTCATGTTGCTCACTGGGAAAGCCTGAATTCTTAACTTACTTTAGAACCTAAATATACTTTTCAATAGATGACCCTTCAAGTATCCTCTTAAAATGTATTTACAGTTTGGTTTTAGAATCCTACGCTCGCTACGCTTCCCCTACAGTAACAGCACCTTACCTGCTGGAGAGCACAGAGAAGGCAGGTCAGACAGTATAGTAACGGTGGCGGCCACAAGACGAGCGCTTTCCTCAGAGAGGTGGGATTTGGCAGCAATGTGACTTGGAGAATCTGAAACTTTTGAACTCAGGTGGGGCATGTGCCGTACCAAGATAAACATGAGCAATTCCATGGCTGCAAAGACTAAAGATTTTCCAGGCACGAGACCACCACTCTCGCCTCCCTCCCCTAAAACAAGAGGATTTTCTTTTTCCTCAATATCCTCTTCATCTGAAAAAAGGAAAGAGATGTCTGAGGAGACAGCTAAGAAAGATTCCATGCCAAAGAGTACATGAAACAATTTTTAAAAAGAATTTAAAAATCAAAAAAGTTTCTTCACAGTAAGATATGACAAACATGGCTCATACCAAACTAAATGTTTTAGTCAGAATGACTTAAAAGGGTTTAAAATACTTTACAAGTATTGCAATTGCAACAGTACTTACTAAAAATGCATCCAGAACTGGAAGAAAAAGTAGTGATCCTTACACAAAATAAAAATGCAGTAATTATTTTAGTTCCTTTAAATTTGACTGTAAAATTAACATAAATGACTGCCAAATAAATAGGCATTACTAATTTTTTAATTTAATGGCTGTTAAATGTTCAACCCTGAAAAAATCTTACTTCAGTCTAAATTGATTATGAAATGAGAGAACAGAAAAGCATTGTAGGATTCTGTGTCTGAGTTCATGATTTCAGTGCACTCGGCTCACAAAGTCTCTTGAATGGCAGCTTGGCCAGCTGCAGTCTTTCCTTCTCCCTTTAAACAGCAACAGAGACTCAGTAAGTCAGAGCTGGCTTGAACTACCCCTATGGAGCTCCTGTGAATTTAAATGATTGCCAGTGTTATCACATTCACTGATTTGGAAAAATGCAACTTATTGGGCCTACAGTAAACAATTCCATTGATTCATATGAAGGAACAGAGCTTGCATTTTTAGCTGTGCTGGTTCCTCAAGTCCTAGGAAAATCCTCTCTCTGTTTTTATGTGGAAAATGGGCAAAAGGTAACAGTTGGATTTTTTTTTTTTCTCAGAAGTACTTTGTGCCAGACTAAGATGGTAGTTTTCCTCAGTAGGAGAATATTCTTCAGGTTTTACTTCTTACAGGTAAAAGAAAACATGGCAGACCTAACCTAAGCAGATATCAGTGAACTATTTGTGAGTTTGCCACTGATTTATCTGGCAAAGATGGAAGCAGTACATCCAATGCAAGACTTTTAAGAAACGGTAAAGGAATGATTGAACAGGGAGATCCTCTGTTAAAAGGAAGAAGTGTTACTAAAAGTACCTCAGAAAGTAGCTTCCAGACTTATGTTGATACCATTATCAAGGATATTATTACATATAGCAGAAATGAAATAACAGAATATGCCGATGAGAAGCTTAAGCAAAACATCAGAAGATGAAATACCATAACAGAATAACAAAAGATAAAAGAAGAAAGCATGAATTTTACTAAAGCTCAATAGAGGCCAAGTAGGAGAACAGGATTTAGGTCTATCGACTCATCAGAGAAGCTCAGAAAACAAATAAGTTGAAAGGGATCTCCATAATTCATCCAAGTCCAATCTCCTGTTCAAAACAGGGCCAACTTAAAAGCTAGAGCAAGTTGCTCAGGGCTGATATGGTTTTGAGTATCTTCAAGCACAGAGATATCACAACTCCTGTGCACCTGTTCTACTGCTTCATCACCCCCACGTTGACAAATTTTTCCCGGGTACCCCATCTGCATTTCCGTTGCTGCAACTTGTGTCCATTTCCTCTTGTTCTTCCATCATCAAAAGACTCTGGATTGGTCTTCCCTTTAAATCACTGTTGAGAAGGGGGATTGCTATTCTATCCCATATTAACTCTCTCTTCAGCAGACTAAAGATGTTCAGCTCTCTCAGCCTCTTCTCATGTGTCACATACTTCACCTCCCAAGCAGCTTAGTGGACCTCCACTGGACTTCCTTCAGTCTGCCAACATCTCTCTCATTCAGGATGAGGGAGAAGGGTGAGGAACACTAGACACTGTACCAGATACATCTTCATAAGCATAAGCTGAAAGAACAATCATATCCTTTAATCTACTGGTCATGCTTTTCTAATGCAGCTATGTAATAGTCTTCCGTGCTGCACAGGAACACCATGGAGTCACATTCAACTTGTTAGCCAGCAAACCTGCTATCCAGTCTGTCAGATTCCCAGCCTAAGCCAACACACAGGGTTATTCCACCTCAAATGCAGGATTTTTCATGTCTTTACCAAATTTCAGCAGGTTCTCAGTCCTGCAACTTGAAATTCTCCTGAAAGGCAGCACTGCCCTCCTCTGTATCCATAACTTGCACAATTTGGTATCACCCACGAATCTGCTGACAGTGCATTCTGTCCTGTCATCCAAGTTGTTAATGACAACATTCAACAGTAGCAGACTCAATACCAAACTCTGAGGAACACCTGTTGCAACCAGCTGCCAGTTAGACTCAAATCACTTAACAGCATTCAAGCATAGCAGCCCAGCCAGTTATTTTCCTACTTTTTAGTTCACATCTCTCCAATTTGACAATGATACTATTTGGGTATTGGGTCAAAAGCCTTGCAAAAGTCAAGCTAAGTAATATTCACCACTCCCCCTTCATCCAAAGCCAGTTATTTCATCACAGACCATGATTAAGCATTATTTGTCCCTGGCAAGTCTGTAGCCAATATTTCCATCACATTCTTCTACTTCATGTGCTCCAAGTGGTTTCCAAGGGAATTGACTCCAAAATCTTTCAACACACAGAGTAGGCTTCCTGGCATATAGTATCCAAAAGCCCACTTTGCATCTTTACTTAATGAAAGTTAGATATAGTGTCTACTTTTGCCATTCATAAGAAGGCTTCCTTGAGCACCACAGCTGTTCAAAGATGACTGCAGCAGCCTTAGCATGCCATCAGCCAGCTCCCTCAGATGCATTCCATCTCAGGGGATGTCTAGCTTTTACCTAAGCAGTCTCTGACCTGATGCTCTTCTACTCTAGGTAGCAATCCTCTCCCCTAAAAGTGCACACTAGACAGAGACACACAGGAGGACGAAGCAAAGATAATAGTGCCTCAGTTTCAACCTCCCCAAGATGTGTTCTGTCATTAGATCACCAAATTCATTCAGTAGCAGGTCTTTTTGCTGCCAACATATCTATGAAAGCCCTTTTTGTCACACTTAACATTCATCACCAGCCTCAGCTCCAGCCAGATTGTGGCTCTCCTAATTCCACTCTTACATACCTAAGCAGACTTCCTGAGTAATCTTCCTGGGCAGTGTGCCCCCACTTCCACCATCCATACACTTCCTTGTCACATTTGAGCTTGGTCAGAAGTTTCCAATCAGCTAAGTCAGCCTTTTTTTTTCTGCTTGGCATCCTGCACTTTTGGATGAGCTATTTTTGTCACCGAAGATGACCCATCTCTCTTTCCTTTGCCCTTCTGAGAAGTTTACAAGATCTTGTTTGCAAGGTCCCTGCACAAGGCCAAGTCTGCTAAGTCAGGCCAAAGCTTTTGTTCTGCTATTTGCTTTCTTCATTTCCCGCAGGATCGTGAACTCTAATGGCTGCTACAGGCACTGCTATCATTAACTCGCATAACCATTTCTTCCATATTAGTGAGGAGCAGATTCACCAAGCATCTCGCTTATTTGGACTTTCCAGCATCTGGTGCCTCATATGTTTCTGAAAGCTTCAGGTTGTTAGCATCCTGCAGTGGTGCTCTTCTAGCGTATGTCTGGATGGTAAAAGTCTCTCATGAGACTCCCATGGCGTGTGACTGGAAGGCTTCTGCCAGTTGGTTTAGTATGGCTTCACCCATCTCCTCTTCTTGATAAGGCAGTCTGTGGCAAACAAGAAGAGTTCCTGACTGGTATCACCCTTCACTTCTTCATACTGGTATCAATTCTGACCTGTCAAAAAGGAACAGCTGACCAGATAACTACCTTGACAGCTTCTTCCTCTTCTCCTCTTGCCAGATCTCTGGATATCTGAAGATAAAGCCAAAAGTCACAGGAGTTGCTGGAAGTCACAACCTTGCAGTGCCCACCTTCATGGAAGTCTCATCCTTCAGGGCCGTATTCCAGCACAGCCTATGGCTGTCCTTCCTTCTGGGACACATGGGCCTTGGGCTCCTGCACCTACAGGATCTCTGTGAACAACACATCATTTTCCTGATGCTACAGTCTGCTCACCTTCACATGCGTTTCCTTCACATCTCACAGGTAAGACCAATGTCACCTCCAGATCTGGCTGCACAGAAAAGCACCTGGAGGACTGTCACATCCAGACTTTAATCTGAATTTCAAGACAGGTCACTAGATCTCTGATGTGCCAGAGATGATTGTTTCTCAGTCAGCAGACTGTGTCTTGCTGTATGTGACTGGCATCATTATGCTGACTCTAGCAGTCTTGTAGAGTCTTGAGCAGCAGTTTTGGGCTGCATGAGCTTGCCTTTCCATGCCAACTGCCTTGCTCCTGTTTGCACACTCCGTTCCCAGAGCTTCTGGATGCTGACACACCCTGATTGCCAGTGAAGTAAGAACCCAGATGCAAGTCTGTTCTACTTCCTGGCAAGATCTCCTGGGCAGGCAAGTTTTCACACTGGTTCCAGTAGAAGTTCACTCACCTCATGAATGCCAGCTGTCCAGGGACACACCACAAGACCCTGCGTTGAGGGCTGAACCGTTAAACTTTAGACAAAAAGTAAATGAAGTGCTAAGGACGCAGTCAATAAAGAAACATTAATGACCCAAACAAGGTATTAGTAAGTGTTAAGTAGTGTGCTGGGTATAATTTTCATCACTCACATTCAAGAAAAATGAATGAAAATCATGACATGAAAAGAATAACCACTAGAATAATCAGGGGAAGAAGAAACTACATCTTGCAACAGTTAAGAAATTAGCAGGTAAAGATTACAATTCATCAAAAGTATCTGTGGAATACATATAATTTTCACCCTCAGTGTAACCCCATTCCAGTGTATTTGAATTCCTTTCCCAATATGAAAACTTGTTGCTTATTTACACTGCAAAGCAAGCCGTGTTTTCAAAATCTTACTTAGAGTGTTCCTTTTTTCCTGTAAATAATCTTGAGCTGCTCTTACTATCTGCTGGACAACTCCTGTAACCAGTAGCTGGACTGAAGGAGGATCCCAGGTCAACAGGAGTCGGTGAAGCACACTCAAGAGTTCAACACCAAGGAGCTACAGTAAAAGAAAACAGATATTAAAAAAATTAATTAGGACTTAACAGTTCCTAATTGTTATGTCACTTGCTTATGATGAGCAAATACTATTCTCACACAAAAATAATTACAGCTTTTATAATCATCACAGATGAAAGACCAAGACCTAGAAAAAGCTGATTGTTACTACACACTCATACAGTACCTGATCCTCTGCAATATGGATTCTGGCACAAGGGGAGTCCAATAATGTATGAAGTGCTTGCAAACAAGATGTAACATGTTCAACAGGCTCTTCAGGTCGTGGGGAACACAGAAACTGTATACTAACACCTGAAATGAGCAATAATTAAAAAGAATGGTTACATCATTATAAAATCAAGTTTTCTTTTTAAAATTTCTTTTAAGCATAGCAGGTTCTTAACTAAAGAAAGATACATGTTTTTCTCAGTTCTTCCTTTAGAGGCAAACATAGTTTATGCATTATTACAAACTGCAGAATTGTAGCAGCTTTCTCTTCCGCATCATGTCTTCCTGAAAATTTGGCAGGAAAAATGCTAAACAGTGACAGCAAGCAACTTGAGTTACTGAATGGAAATTCACACTTTGTTTTAAGGATCTGTAAGTCTGACTTCCGAATACTTCAACTGTAAACTGAGTTTTATTTTACTGAACTCTTCTAAATGTAAAGATAACAGAGATGAAGTTAAACCTCAAAGATTATGCAATATTCGTATTATACATATGGCATTTAATTCTGGTTTTAAGTATCTGCATATCTCAGCTGTAGGCATTCCTCAGAATAAGTGATCACATCCACCTCTTAGAGCTGTTAGATAACAACAAAGAGAAACAGTGAGTGCTACTCACAGATGAAAAAACAATGCAAAAATTATTCTATGTGACTTGTCAAATATCAGTCTCTACTGAACTGTGTTTTTATGTGTGTATTTTTAATTAACTTTACTAACTAATCTTGTGTCTTTGAAGCCTTACATTTGGTATCATCTGAATTATACTAGTGTCGATCAGTTCCTACTCATTTTATTCTATTACATAAATAACCTAGATATGCAACTTGTCTATAAAAATCACAATAATCACACTGACAATTACTCTGTCAAAATATAAAGAACACAGGAGGCAGAGAGATACAGAGTGGAGGAGACAAAAATATTTCAAAATAGTACTATCCAGACATGTGATGCATTTTAAACTTCCCAAATTTTAAGCTCAGTATTCCCATACCATTTCATATCATAATGTGCTGCTACAGAACTCTCAACTTGTAACTCTTACCCAAAATTAAATGCATTCGATCTTTGTTTATCTCTGGCAAGGATTTAGTCGTAGGCGGAGTTCCAGGTGTCTGGTTTAACATAATGGATGTAGCACGTTTTTGTGAACTGGGTATTGCTGCAGCAGTCTCTTCTGTTGACTCTGAAGCATTAAATCCTGTACTGTTGAGCCAAAGCGCTACTGCATGCAGTATGGGAGCCCAGGAGTTTCGGTAATGCAGCCTAGCTGTATCGATAGTTTCTGGAGTGTAAAATGCTCCCCCTGTTAAATTAGCAAAGAAATGGTAAATTCTGAATTTCTAGACAAATAATAGACAAAAAGCATATACTCTAAAAGTATTGGATTATTTATTCCAGGTGTGTTTGATCATGCACATATTCAGACGTACTCCTTGTTAATGACAGTGCACTCCAATTCTCCCTATGATGGAGCAACAATTGTACCTGTCGTAACAAAGTGCAGCGGCCACGATGGAACAGTAAGCAGAGAGGAAGAAGGGCAGGCTGAGTCATCAGGTCTTGCATCATTTTTCGTATAGAACACTTATTCTTAACTCAGTAAAATATTGTAAGACAGTATCTGCTCTAGTCTCAAGGGCTATGTTTTTCTTCTGGAAAACATCTCATCATAGAATCATAGAATGGCCTAGG